GACTCTCTATTGGATTATTCTTGGTAGTATACAAATAGGCTATAAAATTTCCCTCCTTTTAAGCCCCTCCCTCCCTCCCTCTCCAGCCATCAATCCATTTCTCTACAACTCCTTCCTGCAGAACTCCTACAAAGAGCTGCCTAGACTTTCGGTCTCCCCCTTCTTGCCTCCCAGCTGAACAACACGAACTCACTTCAGTCAGTCCTTTGTCCCCACCACTCCAACGTCACACTGTCTGTGTCAACAACTCCATCCTTGCCAAATGTCCAATTCTCAGTCCTCATCCAGCTGTGCCTCAGTGACTCTTATAAAAGGAAGAATGTAGTCATGTCACTTTCCTGCTCAAAGGTCCAGTTCCAATGGCTCCCATCATATTTAGGAAGAGAGACAAGGAACCTACCATGTTCTTTGAGGCCATAGAGGACCTGGACCACTGCCACTCCGACTGCTCACGGCCTGCTCTCCCTTCCCTCCTGTTCCACCAGCTGCCTTGTACCTCCCCTCACACCAGTCCTGCTCATTCACGCTTCAGGGCCTCTGCACGGAAGAGTCCTTTCTGTAGAGGTCTTCTTCAGGTATTATCATCATAGCTTACATTTCAGATAGGCCTTCTATGGTTATACCTAAAACTGCACTTCTCTCTTTTGACTTCCCATCCCCTTATCATGATTTATTTCTCTCTGTAGCTCTTATACCATCTGATGTACACTGTCTGCCTCTCGCACTAGAACATAAGGTCTGTGACAGCAGGCACTTGCTCATCTTGGAACTTCAATTTTCAGAATTTTACTTGGCATATAGCATATCCGAAAAATTGAGGGAGGAAAGGAAGGGAGACAATCCTAAACTTGCCTTCATCAAGGTAATAACAAACCAAGAACAACTTTGCTTGTGACTTGTTATGACCCTTAGGTTTTTCTGCTACTAAGTATCTGTAAAAACTAATGAAAATCTCCTGGAAAATCTACCAAAAACGTCTCCAGGCTGAACTGAAATTCCTTGATGAGGTCAAATAATCCCTTTAGGGCCTTGTTTATAAATAATGTGTTTCAAACTACATAGGAACAAAACTCAGATGAGATCAGTCCATTGGCTAGTCCCTCCACATAGAGAGCTCCCACTTCTCCGTACAATTGCTTGGGAGACTAACTGCTTTGTCCTTTTGGTATCAAGAGAAAAAATGTCTTCCTCAGACATTCCTCAGACCTGCTCTGACATCCTGACTCTCTAGCCTAAACTGTATTTGTTTGTGATACCTTCCAGAATAGCGTGCCATATTTCTTTAGGTCATGTATCACATTCAAGGCCCAACTGAGAGAGTTCAGTGCCCAGGGCTAGCTAACAACTTGCCATTCTTTTAGACCAATATTTTTTCCATGTTTGCATGGACTGAGCGTTTATCCTCATTGGAAAGCTTTCTCACACCCTTCTGTTGTTAGTCAAGAACGGTCAGGTGGATGTTTCAGCCTACCATATTCCTAAAGCTTAACCACTGTCTCTGAGCATCCCAATAGAAACATTTCTAATCATATATAACACCCACTGTGAAAATACTTTTATTTTTTCTCTACCTGCAATTATAACTAAACTCTCTCTACCTGCACAACTTTTTCTACCTGCAATTATAACTAAACTCTCCCCTGGGCAAATCCATGAGTGGTCTATGTTTTAATCCAACTTAAGCACAGAAGGTCTGTAATTTTCAGTTATACAATTTTTTTTTTGTTTAATGTCGATACCTCTCAGTAGACTATAAGCACTCTGAGGTAGAAACAGCATCTGTTTTGTTCAACACTGTATCCATGATGCCAGTAAAATGCCTGTTACAGGATCGATGCTCAATAAATACTTGAATGGGCAAATGACTCGGTTTGCGACACATCAACTTACAACGTGGATAGGTACATTCATGGTTCTTTGTGTCATGTGACATATGACAAGGTAAACTATTTTCCTACCAGAGACCAGATGTGTTATAACAACTTTAAAAATAATGAGCCAGTGCAATCATCTGCATTTATATGAGTTGGTTTTGTAATTTTATTATTAGCATTTTGAAAACCCAACTCCCCTATCATATTTTCTTTTGCTTATCCATACCAGATATACAAGTCCTACGTGGGAATAGAATCGGGGCTCCCTTGAACACTTAGCTATTTCAATGCTGGCCCAGTGCCCAGCTGCAAATGTGCAAGATAAAGACCTGGAGAATTACTGAAATGCCCTTTCTTTTATCCATTCTGTGAGGTAGGCAGGCCTCCTCTGCTAGGCACTTTTACAATCACCTAATTAATCAGGTAAAGAGTAAAAACAAAAAACTCAGAAAATGCCACAGCTATATTTGTATAATATGGTGACTGTAAAAACTTAATACAAACTAATAAAAATAGAAAATATGCGATGTTTCCAGGTAATTTCTCATAGTAAACTCTCATCTCTTATAACTTGCTGTGGTAATCACTTTGAGAAAAATTTTTATACTAAGTTCTTGGGAGCAGTTTTTCATGCATAAATTCAGTTATTTTCCCTTCCAACTTTGTGTTTATAAGACAGAGAAAAAAATTCTGAACATTAACTATTACAAGTATTTTGGAGAGGAGGTAATAAAGATATATAATTGCAAACATTTTACTGATAGTTGATTAATCTAGACATTAAACTCTTACTTAATCTGCCCAATAATCTTTACAGATAGATGTATGTTATTATCTATCTCATTTAATCACTGCGGAAAACTTCCCAGTCTGAAGCCATAAGTGACGGTGCTAAGATTCTAACTTAGATTCCTGATCTGGAATCTCATGATCCTAATGTCTATATCACAGTCCAGGGGAATTGATGACTGACTGTATCAATTTTTATTCTTTTTTTTTTAATTTTCATAACTAGATTTTATTATTTTTTAATAGTTTATTGTCAGGTTGGTTTCCATATAACACCCAGTGCTCATCCCCACAAGTGCCCTCCTCCATACCCATCATCCCCCTTCCACTCCCCCCAACCTCATCAGCCCTCAGTTTGTTCTCAGCATTCAAGAGTCTCTCGTGGTTTGTCTTCTCCCTCTCCCTCACTATTTTTCCCCTTCTCCTCCCCCATGGTCCTCTGTTAAGTTCCTCCTAACCCACCTATACATGCAAACATATGGTATCTGTCCTTCTCTGCCTGACTTATTTCGCTCAGCATAACACCCTCAAGTTCCATCCATGCTGCTATAAATGGCCAGATTTGACATGAGAAACCTATTGAGTAAAAAATACTGCATGAAACTAACAAATATACTTGAGAGCAAATTATACCATGAGTCTTAACCAAGTTCTTCCGCAGAGACACAGTTGCCAGAAATTTTAATTTTGGCAATATACTTTCTATACTAATCACTCTAAATGCAAGTAACCCCTCCCATAAAACAATAATGTCAAATAAAAGAGATCACTCCTTTTTTTTTCCTTCATTAGTAAATGAAAATTGTAAAAAAAAAAAAAAAAAGTCATGAACAAAATTAAAATCCTCATCAATCAACTTCATAATTAAAGCAATGGGTGTGGTACAAGGATTGGATTCTATGGTATACACATACATATATAAACTAATATAATATGCAAGGTTCTATTTAAAAATTCCCAATTTTTAAGTAATTTATAAACACATCTTTAAACTATAAAAGAATAAATACCTAATGTGGCCTTCGGTTATGTTATTATTCAAATTGGTTAGCTCCTTTGGATCAGAAGTATTAGTAACATGACAGTGGTGGGACTAGTTGCTGGCCTTTGCCCACAGTAGCACAAAACACGGAGGGGTTGTCAGATACGATCAGTATGGTTGCATCTCAAGTTTTCAATCTAAAATCTCTGAGTGCAACAAATCATGTGAGTGTTTTCACTTGGTAACACTGAGAAGGTAAAACTGATTTCGTGGCTATGAAGAAACTCAATGGAGATAAAACAATAACTTGTCAAAGATGAATGCGCAATTTTGTAGTGAATGTGTGTAAAAATTTCTCTAACTTCATAATCAACTGCTATTTCTATGCACTGAATCCTATCTTCTTACAAGAACTGTAACAATCCATGTTTATTAGCATTTTATGAGAAAGTAGTGTTTATGTATTCATCATTTTAATTATGTGCTAAAATATGGTATCAAAAGCATATTTAGTAGTAATATGGTATCAAAGCAAAAAGTAATACAACATTAAGTCTTACTCATTATCACTTCTTGGTCCTGAAGACAAAATACATACATACATATTTAAGAGGGAATGAGTCAATGGTTACAGGTATTTTACATTTCTACAGAAAGGTGACTTATTTTTCAGATTCATGATAAAGGAAGAAAAACTTAGCAGCATGATGTTACTGTAATTCCTTCGAGTAAAAATTGGAAAAAGATAAGAGCTTAGCAATAGGAAAGTAATTAAATGATCAAATGCCTAATAGCCATATAGAATTAGGTAACTTGGTATTATAAAATAGAGTTATACAGCAAAGTGTCTTCCTGCCTTCTAAATCTTAGAAGGGAATTTTAATACCGGATTTTGAAATATTCCATCATACTGAGTCATCCTGTTACTTAAAATGACAGTAACTTACACTATGATAAGAACTTCAGCTACATGAAGCTTCTGTAACCGAACACCTAACTTTAGAATTATTTTAATGGCAGCTCAACTCACAAGCAGTTATGTTAAGTACAGACTGTCCTTTCCATTTGAGCATTTGAAGGTAAACGTTATTTTGCAAATTAAGATATTTGAATTCTAACGTTAAACAACTTGATACATAAAAATACAGACTCAATAATTACTGAAGCAAAAACTTATGCAAACATGCGGTTAGTTCTTATAAACTGCTCTACTGAATGGCTGATCAGCTGTGTCTCTGTGCACAGAACTTCTCTGGATACGGAGTATTTGCATATGATTTGGGATCCGCTCGCTGAATAAAAGAATAGTTACGTCTAGCGCTGAAATAAATCAAGGTTTCGCTTGTGTCCCTTACCTTTGCCATGGCTTCTCCCATCCTCCAAAAGCGGCACTACGATAGTGTTGTTCACATTTCCAGGTGACCGCACAGCTGTGTAGACAACAGGCACCGACTGTACCACCACAGGGATGCGGTGAACGTGACTCAGTTTGTTAGACTGTAAATTCATGGGACTTGAAGGCGGTACAGGATGGATAATGTGCAAAAACTGCTGGCCTCCCACACCAGACGCGGAGGCGACAAGGGGCCCTGGAGTTAATACTGTTGACGAAGATGATGCAGAAGATACGGATGTTATAACAGTTGGGGATGAGGCTGGACGACTAGAAGACGATGAAGAGGTTGAAGTTGAAGAAGGCGAGGAGGCAGACGCTGTCATGGAAACTGGGGAGGATGAAACAGCTGTGGGGGATGTCCTGGCTTTGTTGATCGACAAGTCCACTGGCTCAGTTTGTGTTTGGAAGTGATCTACAGACAACGAGTCCTCCGGAGGCTCCCCTTTCACATTATTTAGCAACAGGGGAACAGCTTCCATATCGGGGTAGTTGTGGACGTTTGGAGACTGTGGGGAGAAAAATGGAACACATATTCATCTTTATTAATCACACATCTAATAGATCCAAGATGTATTGCTGGAGGGCTTATTCCTTTCTTTGTTATTGCTATGAGATGCTACTCATTCCCCAAGTAGTTGAAGGATTGCTCTGTGACACTCATCGTGATTAGAGTTGAGAGTACGAAAGTACAAAATAGTGTAAGACAAGACCTCTGCTAGAAAGACATTTTCATCCTATTGGGAGAGACAGACACAGTGTTTAAAATCCAGTGAAACAAGTGCTCTATGGAGTGGAAAAGAGGACATAAGAACTCCAAACTGAATGGCAACTTTACATAAAAATCTCTAAAAGACAAGGGCAGGATGCAATGTGTTACCTACTTAAAACTGAGTAAATACAATAGCTTATTCATCTAAAATGAAAATTTTTTTAATTATAAAAAAACCATTATTTTGTTGGCTTGACCCATCCTACATTTATGAATCTCCTTCTCCTCAGTTATAAAGCAAAGGGATTTTAAATAGGTAAGTGTAAACATCCTTTCCAGCCCCATAATTCTACAATTTCATGATTCCAACCCTTACTCAACATGATCATAACCTGGAGGCATAAAAATACCTAGCAACCAAACTGGGAAGAATCACTACATTTCAACTTCAAATTTGGTGCAAGGGCTCCCATACCATACTCATTACCAGCAGAGAAAAAGGGCACAACTGCTAAATTATTAAATGTAAATGTTTTTTAATAGTTGGGTTATATCTCAACTCTTAGTTATGGCAACATATTTTTCTCAAAATAATGTACATAACTACAACAACATACATTTTAGGAAAAATGTATTCTGGAAATATTAAATGGTTTATGAGTGTTTCTTTTTAAATTTAAGATAAAGATAATTTTGTGTAGGTTCATTTTCATTCTTTTCAGTTTTAAAGAGCAAATTTTAAATAATAAAGAAAAATCTAAGACTCTACCCAGACTAATGGACTTAACATTTTATTACTAAGCATGAATATAACTTATACTTATTCACTTGCAAATTCAACAAGTAGTCACTGAATACCCACTTCCAAGGCCTAAAATGGTCCAAGAATTCTATTAGCATGTGTCAGGCTAGTCTTACAAGAGAGAATTAGACGGTGACAGATTATTTTGACTTTATCTAATTTGACCAGGCTAACATGGGCACTGTTATAATATTACATGAGGACCAAAAACTGTTTTTCAGCTTCATTATGGTATCGGAACAACAATGTCTGAAATTATCTTAAATTGTTTCATTTCATTCTTTGTTTAACAAAAGACTTTCGTTTGCTATTCCTCCTAAAATTTTAGCATATACTTAAAGGAACAAAACATGCTTCTTAAAACCTTTCTTTACAGAATATAAATTATAGCTCCATTCAAAACATACAATAAGCAGTAGTGCAAGGGAATTCCATTCACCAGCAATGAGAAAAGAAAGATAATAAGTCAACAATGGTACCAGATCAACTTAAAAGGGAAATGGGTTAATGTTTTATTGTTTTCTTTTTTCGTTTGTTTCTAAGTTAAGATGGTTACTTACCCACAAAAAAAGTTAAGAATTAGAAAGCATAAAAATAAAACCATCCAAAATATCTACTGCATGAAATTCTCAGTGCCAAGATTTCACTCTATGTGTTGAAATTGAGAAGTAACATTTTTAATTTTCTCAGACAGTAAGAAACAAACAAACACCTCACAAACACTGGACTACTTTTAAAAAAGCTATTAGCAGTATCTAATTCTTATAGCTAGAACAGGATTTTAATTGGTTCCCAGCATTATCATGTAATTTCTTTTTAGAACAATAGAAGACATTTCTTATTAGTATGTTAGACCCATATAGAAGTTCTTTGTTGAGACCGCTTTCACAAGATATCTCAACTGGTTTGTCATTAAATTTATAAAGTATGTCATTAAGTACACGTTATGAAACACTGTTTGGCTTCAAATATAGTCTTGATTATTTCTCTCTTCTTACGGTATTAGATATATCCAGAATTCTAAGTTTGGAAGTAGTTATTTCCACCACATATTTTTCTCCTCTTACCTATCTACTCAGATATAAGGTTTCTACACAGGTTTACAAACCAAAGACTGAGGTATATGTCGTCACTGTAGCAACATTTCATAATGTAAACAAAAGACTACTTTAGCAAATTATGACAATAAAGGGAGGTGGTCAATATGGAGCTCAATTGTAGAGATGGCATCTGAGACTTCAAGTGTCACTAAGCTTTGTGAATGACTTTGACTTCTCTAGATTATGAACAGGAGTCCACCTTTTGTAGGTATCTGCTTAATCCCCCACTAAGAAAAATGTTTACTCCTTAAAAGCTGTTTGATAACAAAAAAGAAGTGTTCCTCTTATAATTCTGTTGCATATACTAGGAAAGCTATGAAGGACCAAATATCAGGAGTTTCTAGGTATATTCAAATATGTGAGAACTACATGGTTTCACATGAGCTTAAACCAAAATACAGAAAATGATCACAACGATTAGCAAGGACAAACCAAATCTTTGGACCACACACATCATCTTTGGAACCTTGGACACTTTATGCATGAATTTATAACCTTATAATCATTACCATTGCAGAGTCACATGCTGGCTCCTTCTTCCTAAGTAGCAGGTAAAAATGTAGCCAACACGTCCTAGACAATGCCTCATCGATATAAAGAGGACAAAATCCTTATTTTACCATTCACCTGTTTACAGTATTGACATAATATTTATTATATCCTTTTATATCCTTACAGCCCAAACTTCTCTTTTCTACTAGGATAATGAGGCAGGTAAAGCCATCCATGATGGTAGCTTCAGGCTGAATGTACATATATGGAAAGCTAGCAATATTGCCTAAATACCTCAAAACATCTGTAGTATACTTTTGCTCCTCCTTTTCAGAAAGAAAAAAACACCTGAAAGACTTGATCCTGAAAGCATCATTTGGAATTCATTTCCTTACTTTCAGAAAGGGGAAAATTGAAATGCATTGGTTCTAAGGTGAGAATCCATAAATGTGTAGCTGCAGTGACATTGCAGTGACATGATGGGGACAGAGGAGATAGCCAAGAGTGACAATGAAAGCTCCGAGAAACCAAAGCAAACACCGAATCAGAAGTATCTGGAGCAGTTAGAAATCTAAAGGACTACATGCAGACATCAGACATCTTGTGGGCTCAGTTCCAGATCATGGCAAAAAGCAAATGGTGCAAGAAAGCATGCCAAGTGAATTGTTTGGCTTTCCAGTGCATATAAAAGTTATGTCTACATTATAACTTCAGTCTTAAGTGTACAATAGCATTACGCCTAAAATAACGTACATACCTTAATTCAAAAACTCTGTTGCTAAAAAAAATGCTAACCTTCACTTATAATTCTAGTTCTCTTGCTATTTCTACCACATCCGCAGTTACTGCCTCCATTCAAATCTTGATTCCCTCAAAGTCATCCATGAGGCTTGTAATCAACTTCCTCCAAACTCTTGTGAATGTTGACATTTTGACCTATTCCCATGAATCACAAATGCTGTTAATGGCAACTAGAATAGTGAATCCTTTCTTGAAGCTTTTCAATTTATTTTGCCTGGATTCATCAGAGGAATCACTGTGGCAGGCACAACCTTGCAAATGTAGTTCTTAAATAATAAGAGTTGAAAGTTGAAATTACTCCTTGGTCCATGGGCTGCTGAATAAATGCTGTGTTAGCAGGGATCTCCGTCAGAGCTCTTGGTTGCCCAGGTACACTGTCAGTGAGCAGTAATATTGTGAAAGGATTTGTTTTTCCTGTCCAGCAGGTCTCAACAATGGGCTTAAAGAGTTCAGTAAATCATGTTATAAACAGATGAGCAGTCATCCAGGCTTTGTTGTTCCATGTATGAAGCACAGGCAAAGGAGATTTAACATAATTCTTAAGGGCCTTAGAATTTTTGGAATGGCCGATGAGCATATGCTTCAACTTAGTCATCAGCTGCATTGGCCCCTAAAAAGATAGTGAGCCTGTCCTTTGAAGCTTTGAAGCCAGGCACTGACTTCTCCTTTCCAGCTATGAAAGTCCTAGATGGCATCTTCTTCCAATAGAAGGTTGTTTGGTCTACACTGAGAATCTGTTGTTTCGTGTAGCCACCTTCTATAATGCTCTTAGTCAGATCTTCTGGATAACTTGCCACAGCATCTGTATCAGCACATGCTGCTTCACCTTGCACTTGTATGTTATGGAGATGGCTTCCTTCCTTAAAGCTCGTGAACTAACCTACCTTCAAATTTTCTTTTGTAGCCTCCTTGTCAGTCTTCACAAAATTCAAGTGTTAGAGCCTTTCTCTGGATTAAGCTTTGGCTTAAGAAAATGTGGCTGGTTTGATTGTCTACCAAGACCACTAACATTTTCTCCATATCAGCAATAAAGCTGTTTCACTTTCTTATCATTCATGCGTTCACTGGAGTAGCACTTCGAATTTCCATCAAGACCTTTTCCTTTGCATTCACAGCTTGGCTCACTGTGTGGTGCAAGCAGCCTAGCTTTCAACCTGTCTCGGCTTCTGACATGCGTCCCTCACTTAAGCTCACTTATTTCTAGCTTTTGATTCAAAGTGTATGACTCTTTCTTTCTCTTGAACACAAAGAGGGCCACTGTAGTTTACTAACTGGCCTAACCGCAATGTTGTGTCTTCATGGAATAGGGAGACCCAAAGAGGAAGAGAGACCATGAACGGCTGGTCAGCGGAACAATGAGAACACACATAACATTTGCTGATTAAGTTTGCTGTCCTGTATGGATGCAGTTTGTGGTGCCCTAAACATATATAATAGTAACATCAAAGATCACTGACCACAGATCACCATAACAAATGTAATAATAGTGAAAAGTTTTAATAATTGTGCATGACACAGAGACACAAAATGAGCAAATGCTATTGGAGAAGTGGTGCCGGCAGACTTGCTTAGATGTGGTTGCCACAAACCTCAACTGGTTTA